AAACTACTTAGGAATCTAGCTGACTAATGTACTATAGATAATGACCCAGAAATGATTTGTTTAAGAGTGCACTCTGAGTTAATGTGGTTGTTTTGTGTATTGTCCTGTGTGTTTTCTGTGTATGTCTTTGTCTCCTACTAATTGTGCCCACCATATTTTTACTTTTTTAAGCTCATACATGCACGCTTATAACTGACATTTTTTAGCATGCCTAGGTCAAAACATCTGTGTATGTGTACAGATGTCTTTAGGATGATTCTTAAGCTACTTTTATAAAGTTAATGTATAAAAATGTCTCAAGAGTTATCTAAAGTTCTAACCCCAACCAGGCCTAACTACCCTCTGCCTTAGGACAAAAGAAAATTTATGGACAATAATCTCAATCTGTTTCATTCTCTCATGAGTGTAATTTACATTTAACAGTTTTATAATTAGTTTTATTAACCTATATGTTCTCGTAGATTTCTATTATAAAAAAAGATAGTATAATTTAATTTTTCTTCCTAAGTCTTTTAAGGTGTAAGAATGCTAATTGTTTTTACTAAAAACAGTGTTATCTAAATCCAGGTTTTTACAAAGATTATTTTTCTGGGCACTGGTGGCTCACACCTGTAATCCTAGCTACTCAGGAGGCAGAGATCAGGAGGATTTCGGTTTGAAGCTAATCTGAGCAAATAGTTCACAAGACCATATTAAAAAAAAAAACCCCACCACAAAAAAGGGCTGGTGGAGTGGCTCAAGGTGTAGTCCCTGAGTTCAAGCCCCAGTCCCATTAAAAAAAAATAAAAACAAAGGTTGTTTCAAGATACAAATTAAAGCCTTAAAGCTTATTAGTTTATATATGCGTGATTGGGTTTGCCTAGAGAGTTTTCTGAGGGTACCAATGTATATTTAAAAATGGGTTTCTGTTATATGAAAATAACTGTCAGGGACTTTTGGTGTTATAGGCTGATACAAAATTTTACCAAAACCAAACAAAAGTTCACCCTCCAGATGGGATGATAAAACCTTAAGGTTGTATTGGGGTCTACTAAAAGGTAATCAATCCTAGAACACTAAATTATGTGTGTCATTAACTCTCAGTGACTGAGCCTGTTGTTTTTGGGCTTCATGGGCTGCATCCAGGTCAACAGCAACCCTGCTGTGTCCCAAGCCATTCCGTTAGTTAACGTCAGCAGTTTAGGATGTGATTGCTTATCAATATTGAAGCCATGACTCTCGTCATTGGGTTTCCTAACTTTATGCTTACTCCCTTCTGTATCTAATCATTTTGGACATTAATCTTGTTGGTTTATTATTATTTTTTTAGAAAAATGTACATGTTCCCCCATTCTTCTCAGCTTACAAGCTGACTACAACCCCACAGTCAGGTGTGCACACATGTTGCTGGCTCTTCCTTCACAGTCCAAATCCTGAGCTTTCTGCCACATCCCACTTCAGCAAGCAAAGGAACAGGTCTTAGGGAAAACTGACCATGGGTTTGTATCAGCCAAGCCTACCTTGGTACGACCTGGATTTTGTAGTTAATTCTGTACTGGTTACAAAAGTTCATATTAAGATGCTACTTTTTAACACTCAATGGATTGTATTCCTTTATGTTGTTCTTTCATTTTACATGTTGCTTTTGGTATCAGCCTCTTTGCCCAGTGTATGACAGTCCTGATGTTTTAATAGTTGGGTTGGCATTCAAGATCAGCATCCCATTTAGGAACCCTCACGCAGGGTCTAAGAGACTGGCCCTTTGGAGAACAGCAGGAAGTCAGGGTACCCCTCCACTTGTTTACAGAGATGTCTGCTGAGGGCCTTTATGGCAAGCCAAGTCAAAAGGACCTGCAACTGAGACTTCCATGACATAAGAGGGACACCGTGAGAATCTTGGAAAGATCTTGCTCTCTCACAAAGGACAATTTCCTCCTTCCCTTTCCCACTCTCTCTTTTCACCAGCCAGCATAGGGGAAGCCAGCATATTTACTTGACTGTATCCTTAAATACTGGGAGTACTTTGATCTGGATAAACATTGGTTTATCTGACATGGCCTAGATAAACATTGTTTTATATATACGATATGCAATTGAGCATTAAAACAGGGACTATTTGAGAATACTGACACTACCTTCCCCTAATCATTACTGTTATCAACAGTATTGACATCCACTAACTTGTTACTTTACCTAACCAACATTCAAGGTTTAAACTGTGATGCTTCTACTGGGTCCTTATCTTTGTGTTGTTCGAGTATATAAGTCTTCTAAAATAGTTGTTATGGGAGGCTGATACACAAATTGGGCTGAAATACTGCTCTAATTGTCACCATAATTCCCTAGACTAAAAGCTGCCTTTTGATGACCAAGACAAATTAAGTGAAATTGTAACGGACAGATACGGGGGCAGACAATTTCTATTCAGATACATCAAGTGAATGGAATTTTTTCCTGCATATAATTTGGGTTTGCTATCTTTTTTTCTTTAAAAAAAATAAAATAAAATAGTTATTTAAAAGGCACTGTTATCAAGCTGGTGTCTTAACTCCTTTTACAAGTTTGTACATATGTTCCAAATTGTAATGAGGGGTTTAGTAACACTATACTATTATGTTAATTGCTAAATTGTTAACCACAGTTACTTTAAGTTTAGTCATTACAGTTCTAATCCTACTGGGACTGTTATAGACAAGCCCATGTAATGTGATTCTGACAAGTGCTTATCTGTCAACCAGAACAAATATTCTTCAGTATTGGGATCATTTAGTATTGTCCTTGTAAAAACCTTGTAACTGTTGTTTGCTGACACTTATAGCAATTTAAAGGTATTGGTACATCCCCTATGGGACAATTACATTTAATAAAGCCCAGCCTAAAAGCCATTTTTAAATAAATCTCTTTCTTGCTTAATTTGGCCAGAAATGTTGCATTGGCACTGACTTCTGATCTGTTTGCTGTGTTATTCCCACTCCTCTGTGGAACAAATCTGACTTTCTGGAAAAAGCTGAGAGAAGTTATTCCTGGCTCTTGGGGACAAAACTGCCAAATTGGCAGAATCTTCAGAAATGACTGTTCAGAAAAAACAGTTTAAGAGGACACGACCCCCGAGTGGTCGGCATACCCCAACTTCTAGAAGGAAGTTCTCTGACATTTAAGCCTTCTAGGCTTCTGGAAAAAGGCAGACTCATGTCTTTGGTCAAGGCCTTCTGTTTAAGCAAAGGCAATGTAACTTTCAATGGTATCTACTTCTGTTTAGGGACACTGTGAGTCTTTTTTCTGTATAAAACTGACTCTCATTGATGCTTATCCTCTAATTGGACTGGCACCTGCCCCCCTTACACCTAACCCCTAATATAGATACTACCACAAACAATCAGTCCTTAACTGCCCACTACAATGACAGTCCAAACAGGGGGCCATCTGAGGGTTAAAATAGCTATAGGTATAAACTACTATAGGCAAAGTAACAATAAGACTCTGTCACTTTTCAAAATGAAAAGTTAAATTCTTTATCCTTCCTGCTGCACCTGGCAGGGTCCCTTCTGATGCTCCTATCATTGTTCATGTTCGGGCCATGCGTCCTAAACCAGATTTATCTCTCCCAGGATAAAAGCCAAATCATGAGGCAACGGGGCTATCAATCTCTACAGATGAGCGAGATCTCTATGAGCAACCCAGATCTCATGTGGAATCTTAATTGTACTGGATAATAATTCAGACACCTTGTGTCCAAATGAGCCCCAAAGGAAAGAAGCAGGAGAGAAAATTTCCCCTTGTAAGTAGGGTCTGCTGCCTCTTGTCAGCTCCAAGCAGATTCAGAAGAAAAGCAAACACCAGTCCCTCAGCAACCTCAAAAAGATTTTTTTGGGATCTTGTCTCTCAGGGAGAATTTGAAGCATCATCCCCACTATGTGTTCACATGTCCACAGGACTCCTGAGCCCTCCCCAGACTCCTCTGCTGGTATGATCAGGGTGCAGTGTGAGACTGGGTGTGTTGTGCTGCCTCACTCACTCCCCTTCCTTGTCTCTCTTCTGGAAGCCAAGGATGTGGGGTCCCATGTGGCTCTGGGGATACAGACATTCAGAAAATTCTGATTTCAGGCAGCTGCAAAAGCAAGCAGCACGAAGTCTGGGGGTGTGCTCTAGGAGAGCCCCTCAGGATATCCACTCTGGTGATGGGGGGACTCAGAACTCCCTCCCTCAAGGAGAGAGAAAGATCTGGGGGAGCACAGTTCAGTGTCACAGGAACTGAGCATCCCTGCTTGAAGGTAAAAAGAGAATGGAGAGACTCTGTCACTGGGGCCAGATCTCATAACCTCTCTGGGCCTCAGCCTCTTCTTCAAGACCATAAGGAGATAGGGGGCTAAATGCAACAACCTCTAAACCAGAATATCCCAGTGAGTGGAATGGGGTATGTGGCTGAAGGGGTCAGGAGGAGAGATGCAAAATGGTGTCACATGGTGGTGATGCATGGAAAGCCACGTGAGGCACTGGAACCTTCCAGTCTTTCAGCAAAAGAGAGGTCTCTACTGCTCACAGAGCTCAGTCCCATCTCAGTTTTAACTGGCATGTGACTGCAGGCCTCCAACTTAGGTCATTGTCAACAAGAGTATCTGCCAAGAACTGAGTGTCTTTATTTTATGGCCATTGTATTTTGGCCTCGTTCTATTTATGGCAAATGAGAGATAAAATTTCCCTCTTGGACACACTTATTTAAGTAAAAAAAACAAAAAAGAATGAATTCAAGGCAACATATTAAAGATAATCCAGATAATATTATAACATGCAGGATGGCAAACAGGGTGTGGGTGGTTGAGGGAGATGGGCAGAGGGTGGGGCACCCTGGTCCCATGTGCATCTCTCAGCCCAAGAGAGGGCCAGGAGGGCTGGGCAGGAAGGAGGCGAATCCCTGGAGCCAGAGAGACCCCGCTGCCCGGATGTGGCTCATGTCCGTGGGGGCTGGGCCGATGCAGATATAGGAGCTCAGGCTGCCCAGCCAGGGCCACTTGCCTGCTGCTGCCCAGGAACCATGCTTGCTGCTGCTCTCCTGACCTTGACCCTGCTGGGCAGTGCCCACGCCTGCTCCAGAAGCACGTCATACGAGGCGGGCATCGTGTGCCGCATCAGCAAGTCTGCCCTCCTAGTGTGTAAGTACAGCACCCACCTTCTGTCCAGGCTTCTGTCACCCCAGCCAGGGAAACATGCCGGGGTCAGAAGCCAGCCCTGGTGCATGCCACACCCCAGGCCAGAGAGGAGTCACGGGCAGAGCAGGGCTTTCCGCTCTCTGTCCTGACTTCACCTTCAAGATCAAGTTCTTTGATGAGAAGGCCATTGATGGGCTGCAAGCAGCCAGGCTCAGTGGTTTGTCTTTGCCTGAGTCAATCTAGGATTCAGAGGAGTATAGTTGAGGGGTCAGGTTAGGGGGCAAAGGTTATGTTAGTGTGTACTTGGTGTTGAGGTCATTCTATGATCAAACTCAGGCATCAGCATAAGACCCAGCTAGGAAGATTCTGTCACCAATTGCTGTGTGACCTTGGCCGGCTACACTGCCCTCTCTGGGCTTCAGCCTCGTGTTCAATACATTAAGAGTAAAGGGAAGCAAAATTATATGATCTCTAACAGAATGTCCAGAGTGTGAGACCCAGTATTATAGACTGGGTTCTATTGGGAGTGGGTGGGGAGCATAGCATGGTTTGGGAGCGGCTGTGGGGTTTTGACTAGATTCATGGAGTTCCAGTGTGTCAGGATCCAGAGGCTGGAGTGTGAGAAGTTATCTCTAGATGGGGTGTAGCAGGGCTCTGTGTGCCCTGAGAATGGTCACCCAACTGACACACAAAGCTCAGCATGATCCCTCAGGTCTGACACCTGCTGGGAGGCCTCATTCCAGAGAGGCTGAGCCATGGCCAAGGTCAGGCTGGGACTCAGCCTGGCCTGCAGCCCCTCAGTCACATGCTCCCTCCCAGTGAACCAGGAGACGGCCAAGGTGATCCAGACAGCTTTCCAGAGAGCCCGCTACCCAGACATCAGGGGTGAGAAGGCCATGATGCTCCTCGGCCAAGTGAAGTATGGTCTGCACAAGTGAGTGCCTGGGGTGAGGACAGACTGGCCTGGGGGCAGGGGAGGAGCTTGGGACTTCCCCCAGCCCAGAGGAAGTCCCCAGAGAGAACTCGGGTCTCCCATCTGGCATACCTGCATCCCCAGCCCTGCCATGCTTTGCCACCCACTTGCAGGACCCTGGGGAGACAGATCTTGGAGTACATTGGCCTCTCCGACATCTCTGAAAGAGCCAGGCCTTGAAGGGCCCTTCTTGCCATGCCAGGAAGATGGGGCTTCACTTGGGGTGAGGGGAGGCAGGGATCTCTTGGCTAGATGGGTCTCCTGACTTTATTGGGTGATGGTAACCTCTCAGGGCAGGCTATGGGCCAGACGCCTTTACAAAGCATCCTTATTTTATCTTTGCCATACACCCATAATGATTCTGTTTAACAAATAGGGAAACAGGAGGCAGGGAGGTCAAGCAACTTGGAGGTCTCACCAAGAGGCAGGCAGTAGGGAGCGAGGCAGGGAGATCTGAGCTTGACGCCACTTCCAGGGCACCTTGGGTTGCCCTGGAGCCTGGGTCCCTATCTTTGAGTGTGTGTGTGAGGCCCTAAGGACCTTATCCTTGTCTTAAAACAGACTCCATAAATAGGTGGACCAGCCTTTCCTAGACTGGAGACTATGTGTTTTAGAGCCACTAGATGGCGCTGGCAATGCTGAAAGACAGCTTTGCATTTGCTAAGAAGCTGGGGCGGGGGTGGCATGGAGGTGCCCTAGGACTCTTGCTGTGACCTTGATTGTCAGTAAAATAAGGATAATGCCATCCTGAATCTATGTCACAAGATGTCAGAGATAGCAAAAGGGCCTCAGGAGTTGTTAAAAGCTATATCCTTAATAAGTCCATTAGTAACTCATAAGACTAGCCTGCTCTAGAGTAGGCTTTATCTACATATAACAATTATTAGCCCAAACATGGGGGGTGGTGAGTCAGAAGTAACTCCTAGTAGGACATGACTGATATTAATTGAAGCTGAATAATGGGCACAATGAGAATTCTTTATACTATTCTCTCTGAAAGGAAGAGAATGGAATGGAATGGAATGGAATGGAGCAGAACAGAACAGAGTAGAATAGAATAGAATAGAAAATAGAATGGAATATGATGAAATGGAATAGGGAAACCAGACACACCTCAATTTTCATTACTGATCCATGTGTCACCATGGCTTATAATATAGGATTTGGGGTGGGTCAGACCCAGGGTCACATCCCAGCTCTACAGACACCTTTTGAAGCCGAATAAACTCTCTGAGCCTCTTGCACCTCTGCTCAGTGGGTACAACAGTGCTAAACCCATCATGGGGTGGCAGTGAGGATGAACCAGGAAACACACACAGACCCTGAGGGTTGCCCGCCCCTCAGAACACGCTCCATTCCCAACTGTGGCAAGCTGGGTGAGGTCGAGGACATAAGGTCTGAAAGTGTCCCTCTGGCCTCACTGCCTCTGGTCTCTGCTTCTGGTCCTTGCCCTCAGAGGGGCCTCACGAAGGCCACCTCTGCCTCTGTGGCACAGGTCCTCCTCAGACCCACCATAGGACCCCAGACCTGGCTCCTGTCTCTACGTTCAGGGCCTTCTCAGGTCTGCTGTGAGAATAGCCTCCCTCCCAACCCAGTGTCACCTCCTCCAGGAAACCCTCTGTATTCAATACCTATTTGCCACCATAACAAATCCCAAGTTTTGTGGCTTCAAGTGACATGTTTATTATCTTACAGTTTAAAATCTGACATGGGTCCCACTGGACGAAAGTCCAGGTATCAGCAGGGCTGCGCTCCTTCTGGAAGCCCATGAGAAGAGTTGGTTCCTTGCCTTTTGCAGCTTCTAAAAGTCACCCACAAACCTTGTCTTGTGGGCCTTCCATCTGCAAGGGTTACATCTCTGACCTTCCTCCCCAGTTACGCCACATCTGTCTTCTCTTGCCTCCCCCTCCACTGTCCCACCTGCTTGTGGTTACCTCCCATCCTTCCGGGTGACCTGCCTCCAGGGCTCTACCATAACTACAGCCTTTGTCATATCAGCCACACATTCACAGGTTCTGTGGACTGGGATGTGCCTGTTTGCCACACCCTCACTGGCCACCTGCATAAAGCTAGAGGCTCACTCCTTGGGGCTCCCTGGGTGACTGCAGTGACTCCCAAATGGACTCAGCTCCAGGAGGGCAGAAGCGGCTCTGGGCAGTGCCTGTTGAGCACGTGGAGAGGAGCAGAGCACCCCCTCGCCTCTCCCTGGCCCCACGATGTCCTCCGTACTTTCATTTGTTCTCAAAGCCTCCAGATCGGCCACGTGTCCATCACCAGCAGCCAGGTTGCGTTGGTGGAAGCCAAGTCTGTTGATGTCTCCATTCGGAACGCATCTGGGATCTTTAAGGGAACCCTGAACTATGGCTATACAAGCGGCTGGGGGTAAGCATTCCCAGCCCCTGGGGGTTTACCCACTGGCCTTTCTGGGCTGCTGGGCAGAATAAGTGTCCTGGGCCCTCGGTTCTTTGCAGGTTGAGCGTTGATCAGTCTGTCGACTTTGAGATCGACTCTGCCATTGACCTCTATATCAACACACAGCTGAGTACGTGTGCAGCTCACTGTGGGAGGCAGGGAGGCTGGGCTCCAGGGCTGGGCCACAGAAGAGGGAAGGCTGTGTAGACAGAGGGATTGAGGCCTCCTCCCAGCCCGGAGGGCAGGTGCAGGGCAGAGTCCAGAGCCGACCCCACTCTTGGTACAGCCTGGTGGCCCACCCTGAGGTGGTGTTGGGTTCTTTGTAGACTGTGACGCTGGCAGAGTGCGGACCAATGCCCCTGACTGTTACCTGTCTTTTCATAAGCTGCTGTTGCGTCTCCAAGGGGAGAATGAGTAAGTCACTGCCTCTGTGGCCCCATTGCTCCTTGTGCCCTATCCTGTGAGTGTACTCAGGACCCCAGGGTCACTTCCACTCACAGCATGCCTGTGGGCAGCCAAACCTGGGGAATCAGAGCCTGTGGGGCTAGGGGGGTCATTTCCAGCCCCTCCCCATCAATACACCCTCAAAAGCTGTGAAAAAATAACTCAGTGAGAACATGCAATGAGCCAAGCACTTTTCTAAGTCGTTTGCATTAATTGATTGACTTTATCCACACACAGCCCAATAGTAAGAGGTAGATTTTGTTATGATCGTCATTTATGTATGGGTAAACTGAGGCACAGAGTGGTCAGAAACGAAAAGAAAACATCAAATCTCTTCAGTGGGTCTTACATTCCAGGTACCATACCAAGTCTAGCCATGCTAAGTAACTTGCTAGAGTCACAGCCATCACTGTTGGGGAAGCAGAAACTGACACCACATTCTCTCACCCCAGGCCAAGGTTCTTTGTCTCAGCCATCCCTTGTCTGCAAACAACCTCACTGAACAGAGGAGGATCCTGAGGCTCAGAGAAGCCCCAGTCACAAACCAAAGGCGCACTTGCAATGAGGGATGTGGGGGCTGGGGACTTGGAGACGGCTTCTCTCTGCCCCTGCAACAGATGGACAAGTGTGAATCTGGAGTCTAGGCATGTGTGTATGCACAGCAGGGGTGGGCATGGCATGAAGGAAGACTGATGCAGCAATGTGCTTAGTGCTTAGGCCTGAGGTTCTCTGAGGCTCAGTGATCTCGGCTGTGAAATGGGGCCAATTCCTACCTCTTGAGTTCCAGGAATATTCTGAGGCTAGCAGAGCCAAAATGGTGCCCAGTACCCAGTAGGCTCTTCGTGGATGTACAAGACTGGTTGGAGGCTCACTCTACTGCTTGCTTCCCTCAGGCCGGGGTGGATCAAAAGGCTCTTCACAAACATCATCTCCTTCTCCCTGAAGTTGGTCCTGAAGACGCAGGTGAGTGAGGCTGGCTGAACCACCTGTGGTCCAGAGTCACATCCAGGGCCGGCCCCCTCCCCTCCTGGCCCTTCCCTGAGAAAGCGCCCTGCCTACCTTTCCGGTGACCCTTCCCAATGCAATCACCCCCACCCAGCTGGAGGGAGGTGCCGCCCGCCTCTCCTCTGGCCTCCCTGCCTGTCTGGTGAGCCACCTGTCCTGACCACTCCAGATTTGCAAAGAGATCAACATCATCTCCAACATCATGGCCGACTTTGTGCAGGAAAAGGCAGGTGAGTTCTGCCTGCATGCCTCAGAAGGCAGCAATGGGAGCAGAAAGCTACTGAGCGATGGTGGGACAGTCACTCTCCCTGTCTGGGTCTCTAGGCCCCTATTTGCTCTGAAACTTCGTGATTAGTTGGGATCAGGCTATGGCAAGTTGCTTCCCCTTGGAGCTGAAGCTTCGTAAGCTGTGTGAACTAAGGCAAATCACTTAACCTCTTTGAACCTCAGTTTCCTCATCAGCAAAATGGGGCTGATAATAGCACCTGCCCTGTGAGAATGGAGTGAAAAGAAGGTATGTAAGAAGGGTAAGACACTATCAGGACCATGGGAAGGCCTCAATATCATGACTAAAATTATCAGCATCCTCACACTCTGCACTAAGCCTCCCCTCCACACACACACACTATATGAATGGAAGATGAGAAAGAAGAACTCGCTTGCCCTTCCAGGAGTCTCTTCCCTCCCTTCCCATCAGGCTTTGGGTTGCTGCGAAGCTCGCATAAGACTATGTAGTATAGAAGAAAGGACTCAGACTCAATGTTGTCATCTATACAATGGGGAGGAACTGAAGACAGAGAAGGTGCTGTGAGAACGGGAAAGGGCTGTCCTGTCAGCACTAATAGAGACCTTACCTACTACACTTGACTTATAAAACTCTGAAATCCTGCAGATAATCCACCAGCCCCATTTTACTGATAAGGAAACACATTTATGGAGCTGAAAGCTCCCACCACCATCACCAAGTTAGGAAGTGGAGGAGGATTTGAACTCCAGCCCTGTAATGATTCCCAAGCCTCTGCACCTGTACCATACGGCCCCGACACGTGCCAGGCTGAGCGCAGGTGCATGGCTGGCCTTTGGTTCCCTGGTGCCTGGTAGGTGCTCAGGGAATAGGGGCAGTGAGAACAGTGAAACCTGAAGGCAGCAGAGCCCCTGGGCCACTGGGGGTGTCAGGGGAAACCCCAGGCAGCAACAGGTCCGTGGTGGCATGCCGGGACCGCCGCGGAGTCGCGCAGGAGGGAACCAGCTTGCTGTAGCCACCGCCTTCCCTCCACTCCCCCCAGTGGAAACCTGGGACAAGAGCCCCTAAGATTATGGGCGGGGCTACCCGGAGGGGCGGGGCATCCTCGCCGGACGGGCCAATCAGCACAAGAATCTGGGGGCGGAGCGAGACTCCACCCGCTCGCCGCACTCGGTCCTCAGGCTGGGTCTGCACCAGGGCTTGCACGTGGTGTAAAACTTCGTCAATAAAGTTTTATTGGAACACAGCCACGCCCACTCCCGCGCGCGCCCACTGCTGCTGCAGAACCGTGTGGCAGAGAGCGGAGGGTGCCTGGGGACCCTGTCCTGGACTATGGACCTCAGGACAGACCGGTCTCTGTCCTTGGGGGAAGATTCGGAAGATCGTTGGAATTGCTCGCTGTTGGGCGTTCGATCACGCGCTTTTACAGTGATCCCAGTACACACAGTCCCGCCCGAGGTAGACGCTGTCATTGGAGATTAGGCGCCGACACCAGGGAGGGAAGGTCACTCGCGGCCTTTGCCACCCCGCAGTAGGGGCAGAGCTGGGGTTCCGTCTTCAGAGGGTCTCCTGCAGGGTGCAGTCACCCAGACAGACAAATGTCGAGGAGACAGTGAAACAGGGCACCTCGTTCGCTCCAGGACCCACTTGCAGACTGGAACACAGGCTGGGGCACCTGTGTGCAGAGGTGCAGGGAACAATGAACCAGGGCGGCTCCCTCATCCTAGGGCTCCAGCTTGACTTTTCCCTCCCCACAGCCAACATCCTCTCTGACGGCGACATCGGGGTGGACATTTCGCTGACAAGATCGCCTGTCATCACAGCCACCTACCTGGAGTCCCATCATAAGGTAGGCCTGGCGGGAGGGAGCGGGGCTCACCTCCCTGGGTGCTCCCCATAGGTCCCTACCTGCACCCTGGCCACCATGCCCTAGCTTCAACCGCATGGAAGCCAGGCGTCCCCAGCACTCCTCTACAGAGCCTTTGTGATGTGATGAGGAGGGAGAGCCTCAGTACTTGTGACTGAGCCCTCTGCAGGCTGCCATCAGCCGGGCAGGTGGGAGTGTGGAGACCCACTGTCACCAGCTGCTATGACTTTGGTGGACTGTTAGCCTGTGAGGTTGTGATCACATCTGTCTGGTTCACCTGATACCATGCTAAGTGAAGGCCTAGCTGTGTTGAAACTGAGTGCAGCTCTTCCTTAGTTTCCTGGTCTGTCCTCTGGGCTGGATGATTTACAAGGCCCCTCTTGGTCCCTGAGTCTGGCTCTAAGCCCAGCAGGGGACACATACGGAAGGACAGCCATCATCCCGGCTTCCTCCAGGGTTATTTCATCTACAAGAATGTCTCTGAGGACTTCCTTCTCCCCACCTTCTCGCCCACCCTGCTGGGGGATTCCCACATGCTCTACTTCTGGTTCTCTGAGCAAGTCCTCGATTCCTTGGCCAAGATTGCCTTCCAGGATGACCGCCTCGTGCTCAGTCTAACAGGGCCAGAGTTCAAGGTAAGAAGTGGGGTGGGGCTGCTAGAATACCATGTGTTCACATGATACCTGTGTGCATGTGGGGAGCATGCAGGAAACTAGGTAGCAAGCAAAGGAGCCATGGGTCATTTGCACTGCATCCATAATCTTGAAGTCCAGCATGTGTTGGAGAACAAGATAGATGATCAGTTCATCAACAGATTCATAGATAGGTAGATATAGATATAGCGTGGCACACAGTAATCGTGCAATAAATGAGAGATGCTATTAATATCTGTGCTAAATTTATTTTTGTTGCGCTTACCCTGTGGGCAAATGCTGTTGGCCCTCCATCTTGCTAAACAGCTAAAACTAAAATACAGCAAAGCTCAGAGAAAGTAGGTAAATTGCCCAAGACCACACAGCTTGGAAGAAGTGGTTCCAAGTTGCACTCTTTAGTTTATGCAATCCCGGGAATGTTTAAATGGTTCCTAGTCCACACCTGCCAATGAATTAGTGGAGAAATTGAGGACACTAGAGGGGAAAAGACTCCCCGCTAAGGTCACCCAGCCTGGATGTGGCAAAGCAGGGAGCAGAAGCCAAGCCTCCAGCCAGGACAGGGTTCCCTGCACTGTACCCTATCCAGAGCATTTCTGATGGGTTGGAAGATGAGTTGGAAGATGGGTTGAAGGGAAGGTCTGGTCCTTAACCCTGCACCCCTTTCCTTTCAGTGCCTGAGGATCCACCTCCTCATCCACACCAGCCCTTTCTCTGTCTTTTTTTAGGGGATTCTGGAGACCCACAGCTTCAACACCAACCAGGAAATCTTTGCTGAGGTAACTGCCTGCTGCTTGGGGTTTACCTCATGTGCTCCAATCCTGCTCTTGCTTGCTTCAGGAAACCGCCTCCCTCCCCTCAGCCAATCACAGCAGTGGAGACAACTATAACAACCACCCCAAGCTCCTAAGTGTCCAGCACCAAGCTAAGGTTTTTTGCAAATCAGTTCATTCAGCACTCACCTCACCCCAGAGAGCCAGGCACTGTTCTGATTCCCATCTGAATGTAGGGGACAGCAAATGGTAGAGCTGGGTTTGAATAGACTATGCTCCCCATCCCTACTTCATTACCCAATCCTTTGTGGGCGAGGAATTGGTTGGAATCCTAGGATCAATCCCAGGTTGAGGGCCCAGCCATAGAATGTGACTGCTGAGTACTAATTCCTAAACCAGCCTTGGGATCCTTGCAGGTCACAGCTTCTGCCTCCTCTGCCCAGTGGCAGTGATGTCCATAATTGCAGGCCTCACTGCAAGATTTCACTAAGAACCTAACCTTGAGTGGACTACCCTCACCCTTTATGGGTAAACGTCTCTCAGCCTTCTGGTCAACCTCACACACCCACTGCAATTTCTTCCATCCTTCAGTGCCATCCTCAAATCTCCAGCTGCCCTTACTGTCTTCCTGCCACCTCCACATTCCCCTCCACAAACCCAGCAATTACTACTAGTCTACTTCCCCAAGAGCTGGCAGTGCCCCCCACCGAACATCCCCTGGTTCTTCCCACCCACCCATACCTGTTCCTCCCTGTGGTCTTCTCCTAGTCTGGCAGGGATGGTCCCTCTTCCCTTCTGAACTTGCTACCTACCCTTCCCAGCCTTCCCAGACCTGCACTCTGAGGTGTGCAGCTGAGGACCATAGGCATGCACTTGACCTGCTCTTCTCCCTCATCCCCCTGACCCAGTCCTGTCCATCTTATGTCCTCACTCTTCTCTAGAGTCTGTCCATTTCTCTGTGTCTTCATCTCCACTCCAGGTTCAGCCACCACTATCAGAAGCAGTCTTCTAGCGGGTTTCCCTGCATCCTGACAACCCCTACAATCTGTTCCCCACAAAAGCCAGGACAATCTTTTCAAGAAGCAAAACTGATCACTCACCTACCAGCTTAAACTCATTAAGGATAAAGAATAAGAGTATTAGGATATAGGCCAAATTCTCTAGCACACCCTCCAAGGTCCTGTGCACTTATGAATTTAGTTGTTTTTGACCCATCATAATTGTTTAGCTGAAGGGCTGATGTCTTCCACCAGCTCTGGAAACTCTCCTCTACTTCTCTGTTCTTACCTGTATAACTTAGACATATGTTGGACCTTCTCAATCCATCTTCTAAGTCTGTTAATTTACTCTATCATATTTTTCACCTCATTATGGTAAGTTATGGGCAGTTTCTGCAAACATTTCTTGTAATTCATTAATTCTTTTTTTTGAGATGTGATCTCACTGTATAAGCCTGTGCTCGCCTCAGACTTGCAATCCTCTTGCCTCAGCCTTCCAAGTGCTGGGAATACAGGTATTCACCACCACACCTGGCTCACAAATTTTTAAAAATAACAATGCCTCATCCATTTACTCATCCACTGGGTTTTCACCTTAATATCAATAATTTTTATTTATAGAAATTTTATTTAGTTCATTTTGAAACTCAACTCTTCTTCCTACCTCCACAGGACTGTCATCTTATTACAGCTCTAATTCTGTAATCCTTAAAAAAAAAAAAAAAAAAAAACTTGTAGTTTCTTCCAGGTTGTTCTATTATTTCTTATGTTTGCCAGCTGGCTCTCATGGTAGTTGGTTTCCTCCTGTGGTTTGTCATTTCTGTCTACTTGTAAGCTCATCTTTAGTAGAACTGGTTTTCCTGTGGACAGACTCTGCTCCCTGGATTACTAAACTTTCTAAGAGGACAGTTCTGCATATATTTCTACCAGAGACACAAAAGTCCCCATCATTCACTAGTCTGGAGGTGTTTTCTGTTTGTTTGTTTGTTTTTGCACTAGTGGATTTGAACTCAGGCCTACACCTTGAGACACTCCACCCTTTTGTTGTGAAATGTTTTTCTGAGATAGGGTCTTGCGAAATATTTGCCCAGGCTGGCTGGGAACCATGATCCTCCTGATCTCTGCCTCCTGAGTAGCTAGGATTAAAGGCGTGAGCCACAGGTGCCCGGCTTGGAGGTGTTTTTATATTATTAATCTCTGCACCACGCTGGCGGGTACTTCAGTCCTGGATTTTTAACTTATTCCCTCCATCTCCACTCCAATATTCCCGTGGCTTCTTTGAAGGAGGGAAGTTTTCAGTCTCCTTTTCTAAGAAGGGAAATGTCTTATTTTTATCTCTGCATCTCACCACTTTGTCTTTGAGGGCTTCAAAGCCCATGACAGTGTGGTTTAAGGGCCACATCCACTCCTGTTCCTCTGGGCTGTGCTGTTTACACTTGCAACATTCAGTTGCAACACACCCACTGATTCAGTGGTTTGTTGAGAGACCTCCCAAACCCAGTCCCACAGGCTGTAAATCCTGCTGCTCTGCCCACCCAGCTGCACTCCCAGCCCCTGCCATCTGCCTGTCCCTGTATTTACCTTGCTTCCTCCACAGGGCATTTGAACATGCTGTTCCCTCCACCCGGAAGGAGTCCCTCCCTTCCCATCTCATTCTTCCCCATCTGTACCTCACTGACTAGGTCAGATCCCCTCTCCAGGGATCTTGTACCACAACTGGATTTACTGCTCCTTGAAAACACACCTCCGTTAGTTCTGGGACTGTCTGATAAGTGTGGAGCTCCACAGGTAGAAACCATGTCTGTTTGGCTTTCAGCAGTATTCTACCTCCTGGCTCAGGGCAGAAGCCTAGTGGGAACCCCCTGAACTGTGACAGAACCATGCATGAGGGCCTGCTCTCCACTCTATATGGATTATTTTCTTTAATCCTTGCAACAGTCCTATGTGGATATGTATCACCCTCCCACTTTACAGATGTAGAAGGTGAAGCTCAGAAGGCTAAACAAAAGCCTCAGAAGTAGGCAGGGAAGGAATTGCTTCGCGAGTACACAGACCAGAAAACTGGGGGCAAAAGCGGGCAATTTCACTGGCAGATTCGTGACCCAGCACAGCTGCAGGCTCAGGGCCTTAGAGCCTAGCCTTTGGCTGGGCCACCAACCAGGGCTGCTTCCTCTTTTCTCCGCTGGGACCCTTACTCAGTTCTAGCCCTCCTATCTTGGGGGCAGTGGCTGCAACCTTCTGATGGGCCCTGTTCTGGGCATGGCCCTGCCTCCCACAGCTTTTCAGCAGCTCCCATGACAGCCCGACCCAAGTTACTGTGCACTGCCTGAAGAGGCCCACGATCTCCTGTAAGAACAGAGGCCTTGTGGTCAGTTCCTCCATGGTGGTGAAATTTTTCTCCCCACACCCGGACGGTCAAGATTCTGTGGCTCATACTTTTGAAGAGGTGAGGTGTGCTCAGGGGGAGGCTGGGCAGGGCACCCAGCCCATGGATGGACAAGTACTCTGAAAAGTCCAGAGTACTTGTTAAATAAAAAAAAATTATCCAGTGACACTTGTCAAAGTTTGGTAAAGCAGGCTTCACTCAGGCCAAGGCGGTAAGGACAGGGACGCCTGCAGCAGGGTCTTGTGGTAGGCAGGTGGAAGGGAGGGGGGTTGGGCTTAACTCCAAATACAATGTGGGCAAGTGGGAATGGGAGCCAAGGAGTAGGGTGGCAGTCATTGGCTGCCAAGGGTAAGGGACAGGGGATCTGGAGCAACTGTGTCTAAACCCACCCATAACTCTTGCTGAAGATGAGTGGGGTCATCAGACATCACCTGGGGTGGTGGAGGATGGGAGACCTGATCAGGTCTAAGAGTGATCAGATTTGGACAGTAGGGGGTTCTTGCTTCTGGATTTTATGGGAAGTATACAATGGTTCTAGAAGGTTCTGGAACTTGACTAAAGTTTGGTTAAGCAAAGAATGGGTTATAGACTATAGCAAATGCCTGTCAAACTCCCTGCTTCCTAGATGTCCTGCTTTACTCCCTCCCTGACTTTCCCAGTACCTTTCTTGTTCCCTGCTCCTGGACATCCCTGTCTTGCTCATGAACCTGGCACTGTAAGTCAGAGGTCTGCAGGAACCTGTGTCACCCAGGAGAGCTGAGGGAGAGAATTCAAAAGGCAGCTTTCGCCAAATCCCAGCGACAGGGAGAGAGCCACAGGCAGGTGACCCACCTGAGGGAAAACATGAACAGAGTTGGGGAGGGGAGTCCCAGTATGGTTGGGGCAGGGACTTGTGGTCAAGCATAAAGTAGGTTGAGACCATGTTGTGAAACTGAAAGGCCAGAGGAGGAAGTAGAAGCCACAGACAGCTGTGGAGCTGGGTTGAGAGGAGATGGCATGGTTGGCTTAGGTTGGTGGGACTGGGGAGATGTTAAACTGAGCCCTGGTGGTGGTGTCCCTTGAGGATCAGCCAGGCTCACCCCTTCACTAAACAAAGGGAGCTCTGGAAGTCCTGAACCAACAGGACATTTGTTCAAGGTCACACACCACTGCCATCCTGGAGCCAATAGCTTCTGAACCCCCAACACATTCACTTGTTCATGTACTTTCTGCAACACCTGGTAAGTTCTTACTCTGGGCCAGACCATGTGGTGCCTAACCTCGTGGAGCTAAAGGACAGAGATAGACAATACTAGAGAGCCAGGCAAAAGACTTTATAACCTCTAATTTTGCCTGATTCTGGGAAATAAAAATGTGTGGTCAAGGAAGGTGCTTATATAATTTACACTCAACATCAAGAGGTAACTTGAAAGCTAATTGGCATTGTGGGTATCACACTTTGGCATGTGTGACCATCACCCAGGGACCCTGACAAAGCATAGACTCCCACGTCCATCCCAGACTCCGATTTAGAGGTCTGGGGCAGGGCCCAAGAATCTGCGTTTCCAACACGTCCCTCCTCCTGGTCTGGTCAAGGACCCACACTTGGAGCAGCAGACTGATGGCTTCATCTTAGAGGTGGATGACATGAGTGACACAGGAAGGTCCTGGTCCCCTGTAGTTTCTGACCCACCAGGAAGAAGCAATTGGGAATGCAAGCAGGTCAGGGCCAGGAAAGGAAGTGCCCACATGACTTCTCAGGCCCTAAGACCAAAGCTGTAAGTATTGGGGAACTTCCTTCACTTTTGCTTTTCTAAGGATTTTTTCCTTTTTGTAGTGTTGGGGATTGAACCCAGGGCCTCGCTGCTAGACAAGTGCTCCATCACTGAGCCCCAGCCTCCCTTCAGTTTTCAGGAGACCAGTAGCTCAGCCCAATCCCAAGTTTCCTCAGGACCCACTGTTCTCCCCACCCCATGGATCATACATTGTGGTGGATGGAGAGCCCTAGACAATGAGGGCTGCTCTCTGCTTCTGGGAGACCCAGCTCACAGAATCTGTCTTCTCTCCCCAGGATATCATCACTACCATCCAGGCCTCCTATTCTAAGAAAAAACTCTTCTTAAGCCTCGTGGATCTCCAGTATGTGTTGCAGAGACCTCTCTTGATCCTCTGGGGTCAAGCACAGGGTGGGGTCCTGGTGGGGAAAATCAGCTCCCTCCTTCTGGGACTTAGGACTGACTGCTAGGGGAAGGGGGGGTGATCGAAGCACCCCATAGAGTCTAAATTAGGAGGAAGAAACCCCATAGGAATGGAGGGAGGACCTGAAGGAGGAGGGGAATTTTAGGGGAATGACTGGGTGGCTAGAATCCAACGTCAAGAGAGGGTTCCAAAGGGCTCTCTGCGGAGGCCTTAAATATCAGACATGAAGCACCAAGAAAGATTCCTAGACTTTCTTTCCTGGGGGCTGTTACAGGAAGGAGCACAACAGAAGACTGATTCTCAACTCTTTTTTGATTTCAGGATTAAACCAAAGGCTGCTTCCAGCATGGCGGAGGTAGGGGATCTTAGGAGAAATAAATCTGGTAGGATCTCATGCCTTAAAGAAAGAAGGCAGTAGGCCCTAAGGGAAATCAGGCAGCATGACCAAAAGAAATTAGACCAGATGGTCCCTGTATGTCTCTTACAAACCTCTGTTCTGTGTCTCTTGGGAGAGCCACAGAAATGGGATCAGGGTGGTATGAATTTCAGGGACAGGAGAGTATCAGCCAAGTGACCTCTCCCTGGACTTCGGTTTCCCCTCTGTGGAATGGGATGACCACCCTAGCTCTCCCCAGGATCTAGGAGGGATTGCTCAGAAGAGGCTATGGTGGAAACAGGAGAGGGCTGTGTATGTCTTCATGGGCATATGGATGATTGCTCATCCAGGCTGCATGGCTGTCTGCCCTGTGGGTCACTTCTGTGCTCCCAGGGCACTCACCATGGGCCTCTGGTTGGCAGGGCAGCTCCGAATCTGTGCAGAGTTTTCTACGGTCAATGATCACTGCAGTAGGCATCCCTGAGGTCATGTCTCGTAAGTGTGGACTGGAGGAGAGGTCGGGGCAGGGCTGTGACTTCACCTTGTCCCCATTCGCCCTCAGTGCAAAGCCCCAAGTGCCTGTGGTTCTTCAGCCGTTGACACTTAGGAGTCCTGGGTCCTTTCCCTTAGGGCCCCTTTCCCTGCTGGTAGCAATCATGACAGTGACTTGCAGATGCCCTGACCCCTGATCCTGGTTTACCTGCAGAATGTTATCTCTGCCTCCCTACTGGGCAGCGCAACCCACATTTGGACATAGGTCTCCTAATGGCAACCAGATGTGACAGGAAGAGCCCTGATGGCTGGGAGGCTGAGACCTGGTTGTAGCCCAGCCTGAGCTTCATTTCTATAAAATGAGAAGCTAGGGTTTGCTGGTCCCCAGATCCCCTGTGGACCCTGATGTTGTAGGATATACAGCAACACTAACAGTGGAATCTCTGAGGCCATAATGGAGTAAGGTATGGAGCATTTGGACAATGCTCTGCTAAGGCTTTTTGCTCCTTCCCCACAGGGTGCACCGAGCTGGCTGGGCCTTTTAAAAATCTGCTTGTCCTCATGGCTTTGGCAGAGAGGGAACAAGAGAGACTGGATTCACTCTCACTCAGTGTCTTGATCTCTCTCGCCCTCAGTTTTCACGATCTGTACCATGGATCCAAAGCTACAGGGGTGGATCAAGTGGGTTTCTAGGGAGGTCTCCTTGAGTGGTTGCAAAGACCATGCTGAGCAGTTCCATGGGGTGAGGAGTGACTGCCAGGTGTGTCTGGGGACTGACAGCTGGTCTCTAAGCATCCTTCTGAGTAGGGTGGATTCAGCCAACTGTAGGCCATGTGGCTAATAGGGACTCACAGAATTTTGGTCCAAAGGGGCCCCAATGTCTCCCATTGCCCAGGGTGCCACAGCCTGGGGCTGGCCCTGCTCCCTGAAGAGGACTGACCAGGGTTCCCTCCTTCTGCCCCAGGATTCGAGGTGGGATTTACAGCCCTTATAAACAGCAAAGGCCTGAACCTTTTCAACATTATCAACCCTGAGATCATCACTCAGGATGTGAGTACAAAGTCCCCACTGGCCCTATTCTGGGCAGAGAGCCCCAGACAGCTGTCTTGGGGTGACTGGTGGCCTGGGATCCTCCAGAATCTGCCCTACCACCTTGCTCCTGCTTCTCCATCTAGGGCTTCCTGCTGCTACAGATGGACTTTGGCTTCCCAGAGCACCTGCTAGTGGACTTCCTCCAGAACTTGAGCTAGGAGGCTCCAAAGAGGTTGATGGAGCTGGAACCAGAAAGAGCAAAGCAGGCTTACAGTCGAACCCTGGCGTCTCCATCGTGGTGGGGTTCAGGGTGGAGATGTGGAGGTGGAGGCTGGCTCCCAAGTTTCCCTGTCCTAAACTGCCACTGGCATTAAAATGCTATGTCTGGGATCTGGGAGGGCATTTCTTCTGTAGATGGGGGCTTGAAGGGGAAAGAGAGAGAAAGGGTATCTCACTAGTCCCACCCCTGTGCTAGATATATCTGGCAAGTCAAGCCCTAGCTATCCACCCATCCACTCAGCCCTTTCACAGCAGCTGCTGTGAACCTTCTAAGCGCTCCAGTGCCTGGAGAAGAAATCCTGGCTTCTCACCTTGGCATTTGAGGTTCTCCCCATGGAGTCATTGCATACCTTCCAAGTTCATCTGTAACCCCCTCAACTACAGTCTTCTGTCCCTGCCACACTAGTGCTGCCTCTTGGTTGGACAGTCTCGACCACCCTGACAGGTGGCCCTCCGTAAAGCCCTCTAGCGCCCCTCCAGGGCTAGATCAAGGCCAGCCTCTCAGGCACTCTGTCAATCACCACATGCCCTGGAGTGACTCCATTCTTAGTTCATATTGTGCATATGTACCACTCAAGGCCCTTTACCCAGCAGGCCTAAGGCTCTGAGTGACACCAGGTGGCCAAGACACAGACGACACATCCATCAGGGTCCTCAGGAGCAAACAGCTAAATCCAGCCCTGGTGCAAAGTGAGGAAGGAAACGTGCATGGGAGCCTTGAGCAGCTGCCACACTTGGATTCTGGGACACTTGGAGCCTCAGGCAGCAGGGACTCCCCAGAGCTGTCATTAGGTGCCACAGAGGGTATGCTGCATCCCAGCTGGTTTCCACTGTCCTCAGGATCCGAAGTCTTGATTGGCTGAGCCTGGGGGAAGTGCTAAGATCCTGGCTCAGAGCACCCTGATGGACACCAGGTTTCGACATGGGGAAGTCCACAATGGGTGGGCACACACATCTTCCAGTGGCTGGTGAAGGAGGGGATATTTAGCTGCATCTGAAAGGCTGAGCAGGAATTTGCCAAGTGGACCCATGAGATAGGGTGCTGGGCCAGCAGGTCAGGTCATTCCCTGCTGACCCACACGCTAATGCATTTCACTTGTCCACCAACATCCCAAGAGTTTTTGCTGTCCCTGAATTTTCACCAGAATCCTCAGAAGCCATAGCACATCATGTGGGCACCCCCTTGGTCAACAGAGAGAATTCCCAGATCCCGCTCTCCCTCCTAACAGCACCTGGGTGCTTCAGCCCTTTGCCCACCCACCATCAAAGGTCCTTTGTTCTCTTCTGACCAGCTTCCAGCCTAAGCCCAAAGCAAAGATTTGACTCATTCCCTGTCCCATGATGTTCCAGTGCTGGACAGGAAGTAATGGGGGTGTCCTAAGGAGGATGGGGATGAAGAGGGGGTTACAGAGGTCTGGTTTCTTAGAGGATGGAGTGTCTAAAAAAGCAAATCAATCAGACTTGAATACAAAAGAGAAAGGTCATATAAGCATATTTCCAGTCCACCTCCCCCTCCTGCCTGTCTTCCCCTTCCTACTCCCAGGCTACGACACAGAAAGTTCCTTCCTCCCATCTAGGTCTCAGGAGATTCTCTCCAAGCCTGTGAAGAAAATCCCTCTTGACACATTGGCCAAGTGGGATGGGGGAAAGCACAGTACTATTGAAACTGAAGTTTTGGACCCAAGGCCCAGACTTCTGAGATTCCATATGCCAGCCACTTGCCCCTAAATGCCAAATAAAGAGCCATGGTGAAGGCAGAGAAAGCAGATTTATTACACAGTTTGGGACACACAGTGGGAAGAGGCAAAGTAGCCATCTTCAGGGTACAGCTATGAGTTATAGGTTTAAGTAGACAAAAGAACTGGAGGCAGGGGACAAAGGTATGCATAAACAGTCCCAGTCACGGGTGTGTTCTGGTTGACCATTATCGCAGTCTGAGGGTTCTGAGAGGGGTTCCAGGGAAGATGTTTTTACCACTTGAAAGGAGCGATCTGGTTCCCATGAGATGACTGCTCCTGCTCCACTGTGCAGCCTTATCATTACAGGTAATTGTCCTCATTTGGAGGGGTGGTCTATCCTACAAGTCTCCACTGTTCCTTATGGGACGTTTCAGTCCCTTGTCATAAAGATGCTATCAGCTCTGTCCTTTCTGGAATCCAAGTTGATCACAAAGTGACTGCAAAGAGAAAGGCTTAGAGCAAAGACAGATACAAAAACGAAGGGAGGGATACCAGGCTTCTCCTGTTTTTAGTTAATTCATGTACCAAGTAAGGAGTCAGTAGCTTTCAGCAAAAGCAGTTTAAAGTACCTCTTACGCAATGGCTTGTCCCCCTGAAATCATACTGAAGTTTAATTGCCATTGTGTGGCAGTGTTGAGAAGTGGAGCCTCTAAAAAGGCAGTTAGATCATTAAGAGAGATTAATGCTTTTTCCAGGGATTCAGTTAATTCTCATTGCAGTGAGTGGTTCCCGAAGTCTCAGGACTGGATTAGTTACTCCCAGAACAGGCTGTTATAAATAAAGGTTGCTTCTTGTCTTTTCCCCTTTTCCACACTGCCACGTACCCTTCTGATTCCCACCATGAGTTGAAGGAGCATGAGGCCTTTTCTGGTGCCATGCACTTGGACTTCCCGGCCTCCAGAACTGTGGGTCAAACAAACTTTCCTTTATAAATCACCCAGCCTCAGGTATTCAGTTACAGCAACAGGAAATGGACTAAGACACATGCAAAAGTCCCTGGGGGTAAAGGGAATGGTGACAGATTCAAAAAAGGTCTAGGAGGCCAATGTAGCCCAGAGAGCAGAGAGGAGAGACTGAGAGATGAGTCCAGACCAGCAGGCAGGAACCACATCAAGAGGGTGGCAAAGTGGCCTGGCCATTGTTTTAACAGTCAGGAGCCAAGAATGGATGGGGCACTCAGCAGTTGGATGACCCTTCAGGTACAAGAAGGCTTGAGGGGAGGGCACCCTCCTTCCAACAGTGTTCCCTCTAAACCCTACCCCTCTCAGGGGCTCTCTTAGGCCTCTTTCTTTTCCTCCTTTGGAGCCCAGAGCAAGATCTCACTCACAAAGCCAAGCAAGGGGATGAGGGGGAACTCTTAAAGGGCCCTGGAAGGAAGAGCTCACTAGCCCCTATGTCCAATGTGGGAATTCCAGACCTTGCAAGACCAGGACGGTGACACCAGTTAGAAGCCACACTGGTTGGAATGTGTTCCCTTGAGGGGCCTGGGGAAGACACAAGAGCCTCCATTAATGCCAGGAGAATAGCAGCTGGAGAACTTGGCCCCCCCAGATAGCTCCTCCTTTGAACAGAAACTTTGGCCATCACTAGGGACACACAGAGAAGTCATTTACAGTGTTACCTTCGTAAACCCTAGCTTACTGGGACCACAGGAGACCCTGGGACTCTTCCCTGCTCTGGAACAGTGTGGGGAGCTGACAGGTGATTGAATAAGCTGCATTTGAGTTTGGCACAGCCCCAAACTGCAGAAGGGAGCAAGCATAGTTATGCCCAATAAATTGCACACTTGAATTGGTACAACCTCAGCTGCAGAAGTGGGTAAGATGCAGTACAGCTGTTTTTTCCTTTAATGTTTACTTTCAGAGAGACGCTGTCACAGGTTTCTTCTGTTCCCAAGGATTACAATGTCATGCCCCCAAGAATCACCTCTCCACCTTATGTTGCTACAGTGTAAAATAAACTCACTGGAGATGGAGGGGGCTGTGTCAGAGCACCCAGTCTACCTGGCCCCAGCTTTATGCAGGTTTGGTCTTCTGTTGTCTTTTCCAGCATCTCCCATCACCCTCAGTTAGGTTTCTAGGACAAGCTCACGCGGGATGTGAGAGCTGGCACCTGAACAGGGACCTGAGAGCAAGGTGACACGAGAGAGGTGGCACCCTGAACAAGGACCTGAAAACGAGGTGACGCCTGGACAGGTAGCTAACTAGGGGGGAATTTGGAGCCTGAGATGAGGAGATACTCGCCAAGAAGCGTGCATGTAAGAGATAATAAGAAACAAGTAAGGTGTGGGGGGAGAGTGATTTGAATACAGCCAGATATAAAAACATGGGACAGGATGAGCCTAAGGACTGAGAACTGTAGGATTTAAAAAGCTATGTTAAAAAATTATAAGGTAGAAATTAGCATTATAAGGTAGAAATTATACAACAGAGTATGGTAGAAAATGTAAGGTAGAAATTATACAATAGAATATTAAGCATACGGTAGAAGAATTATTAGAATTATACAGTAGTATACGATAGAAAAATTATAAGGCACAAATTATACACTAGAATACGGTAGAGACTTAGGGTAGAGCTGTAGAAGTAAGTAGATTTTCCTCCTCGGTAGCGCCGGGATGTGGGGCTCACCTCTTAAAGCAGTCCTACAGGAGAGTGAGAGGCAGTAACAAGATGCCCTGGGCTGGGGAAGCTCTGAGCCCCACCTTAAAAGTAAAGTTCAGTCAAGAGCTTCTCATTCAGTGTCAAATGAGGAGGGTCAGGAGGACACTCTGGCACAGCAAGCACTGGGAACCAGATCCCTCCACAGGCCAAGTAATTTCCCAATCTTGCTAAGAGTCCCCTGCAGGCTGCCTTGCAGGCAGCTCCTAGGCCAGGAGAGGATACAGCTGGCTTTAAATTTTACCCTGTGCTTGAGAGACCGGCCCCTAAGGACCCCAGCATGCAACAGGGATTTCATGACCAGACCACTGACTGGTGCCAATGGGCCCAGGATTTGACTCCTGGAGTGGTGTCGGGGAGCAGGGAGGAACGGGATTTGTGGAGTGCATGCAGTGCCACCGCTGGGAACAGGCCCCCCACACACACACCCAGAGGGATTGAGGTGTCAGATCCACATCCTAAAAGAGCTCAGCCCTGGCTTGGCTCCATTTCTGCACTGCCACTGCTGCAGGAGCACTCTGGCAATTGCTGGTGCTAACCCGCCGTTTGTGCTTACATTACAGTAACGCCTGGACAGATAACCTAGTCTCTGAACTTGCTTTGGGCTGGCCCACGCAAACTGCAGCACCTGTAGAAGCTGCCCTACTAAGTCATGCTGTGTAGCATCAAAAATGCTTCAGCCTTGTGCAGGCAATTTATACCTGTGCCTCCGCACACGCTGAGGAGGCCACCAAGCATGTCATTACTCATTGTTTGGCTATGTGGAGTTGAGGGCATGTTTGTGTTTTTCCTGAAGATGCAGAACACCCAGTGTGGACACTACTCATGGTTTGTCAAGCCTCATGGACCTCCTGGTCCCAAAGTTGAGGAGGCTGAGACTGGAAACAGCCGCTGGTGAGACAGACGCAGGACAGTGAGCCATTCACCTGGGGTCAAATTAAGAAAATAATGGACATGATAACGATGGTGACCTGGTAACCGGTAGCCTGGGGATGGCTGGGAGTCCCACAGCCACACTGCTGGTGGCATTGGTCATAATTACAAGACAGGTGGGTGTTGTCCAAGGCGATGCATACTGGACTTTCATGCCCAACCTGCCAGGGGTGCATCCTATCACTTGGTAGAGCCACCCTGTGTATCTTTACCAATGACATGGTGCACACGGGAGGTCATTCCTCAGGACATCTGGTGCCTCAATACAGTGACTATCGCTTTACAGGTAAAGCTATCTTATGGGTGCATGAGAATGAAGCAAGCGATACTGTGGACTTATGGCAGTTAAGACAACAAATATTGGCCACCAAAAGGCTTATGACACTGTTGTTTCTCCAGCTACTACTGCAAAAACTGTCCTGGATGAACTCAAAGGTTTCAATCCATTTAAGTTGCTAAAGCACTCTTTCTGATACTGTTCACCTGTTTTCTTTTTTTTTTTAGTCTAATGCTGCATGGTGCAAAGACAACTCCTTGGATTAAGGAGACAGGCTTCATCGCAAACATTTAAGAAATTTTTTTAAAAAGGTGGGGAACATGTGGGGAGCCAACAGGTATATAAAATAAGCTGTGTGTTTGAGTTTGGCACAGCTCCAAACTGCAGAAGGGAGCAAGCATAGTTAGGCCCAATAAATTGCATGCTTGATTTGGCACAGCCTCAGCTGCAGAAGTGGGCAAGATGCAGTACAGCTGTTTTTCCTAAGATGTTTACATTCAGAAGCTGTCACAGGTTTCTCCTGTTCCCAGGGATTACAATGTCACGCCCCCCCCACCCCTTGCCCAAATCGCCTCTCCACCTCGTGTTGCTACTGTGTATAATAAACTCACGGAGGTGGAGGTTGCTGGTGTGTCTCCATCAGAGCACCCAGCCTACCTGGCCCAGCTTTGTGCATGTTTTGTCGTCTGTCTGTTGTCTTTTCCAGCATCTCCCATCACCTCAGTTAGGTTTCTAGCACAAGCTGGCCCGGGATGGGATGCCCCCTAGCTTCCTTCACCATTCTAGAAGAATGTGTCCCCAGGTCTGAGCTAGGAGAGTACTTACCTGTCACCACACCATCCCAGGAGTGTGTGTAGCAGAAGGAGCTGTGTTGTCCTAGATGGCAGAGACTGGGATCAACCGATTAGTCCCTCTCCCAAGTCCTGCTCCCTCCACCCCAGTCCAGAAACTGTCCTAGGCTAATCCCAAAAGACCACAAGTCCTCATGGCCTACCTGGGGCATTGGCCTGATTGGTTAGAATCTGTTCCCAGGAGGAGGTTATACTGGCTGCTTCCTCCAAGGAGCAAACAAAGGCTCCCTAAAGTTGGGGGCCCTGTGGAAGCATATCCTGTCCCCTGGGTTACTGGGAGTGAGCGACATGGGCCCCAGAGGCTTGGGACCAGGCCTCAGGCAAATGGGAGGTATGGGGACCATTTTGCCCCCCACATGATCCTGGCATGCATCCCAAGCCCTATAGGACAAACAAAGTCATTAAGACAGGCAATTGGGCATCTTGTGTTGGCCACTGATGCCATGTTAGTTTTTTGTTTAGGGCTTTTTTTGTTTGGTGGTGGTAATGGTGTTTGAACTCAGGACCTTGCCTTTGCTAACCAGCTGCTCTACCACTTGAGCCACACCTCCAGCCCAAAACATGTTAGAGTTTTTGAGAAGGGCTTAGTACAGTTCAGTTGGCAGCAGTCCACTGTTGTCTAGCTTGACATATAAACTTCTTCCTTGAGGTACAGGGATCCACCTCTCTTGCTGTCACTTAAGGAATGCTTTTTGTCCATAAGTCCCCTGCAAACTGCATTTTGTGCAAATCTGGATCTATCTGCCTCTTTCTTTGGTCTCATAGCACCTTGAGTTCATTCTTTCAGGCAGATGGCCAGGTATTTTACATCAGAGGAACATGCATACCTTAGGCCAAAGGAATGGGTGTGCTAATGGAGGACTCTCTGGCTAAGGCCAGTTTGACAGAGGGAGAATTTGGGGATGTTGCTCTACAGAACTCTTCTTGGTAGGCCTGGTACTGCCACAGTGGAAAGAGCACTGGGTTCAAGACTCTGATCCTGACTGCTGTGTGATATCCAGGAGTTCACTTGACCTATCTGGACCTCATTTCATCTGCCTAATGGGATAATAATCTCTGTCCTGCTCTCCTCATGGCACTGTTCAGGATTAAATACATCTAAAAATGGTTGACATTTGTCTCTCTGGATTGTGGCTGTTTGTCCATATGTCCATCTACCCACTTTGCCTGCACTGGGAGCAGGATGGAGCCTTTGCACATGAGCTCAGCCCTGATATTGGAGCATAATCCCCAAACATGCATGCATGCATAGAGTCAACAGCCATCCATCCCACACCACATCCCAAAGTGGCCTGGGGAGGCTGGGAATCCACCATCTGACAGATGAGAAAACTGAGGCCGGGAGGAGATCAAAGCATTTACCAGAGGTTACACAGCTAGAAACGGAGGAGCTGGGAATCAGATACAAACAATCGACTACAAAATGGGTTTCTTCCCACTCCTAACTGTCATGCAGTTTTCAGATATCTGGGTTGGTCCTGGGAAGGAGGAGGTTTGAGTGTTACAGGGATGTGGGACCTGAAGAAGGAGACAAAAATATAAGGGTGGCTGATGGACTTCAGGCCCAGATGCATCAGTCCCAAGTTTAGGTCATCAAATCCTCTCCAGTCTATGGGGAGGTATTATTACCATCATCCCCATATTACGACTGAGGCTCAGAGACAATCACTGTGCTAGTTTCTTTTGCATCACTGTGACCAGGTACCTGATAATAACAACTTTAAGGGAGGAATTAGTATTTCGGCCCATGGTTTCAGAGGGTTCAGTCCATGGTCACTTGGCCCCATGCATTTGGGGACAGCATCATGGCAGCTGGAGCGTGTGGTGGAGCATCTTGTTCAACACCTCAAGGCAAACAGGAAGCAGAGAAATGGGGAACACAGGACAGGGCCAGGGCAAGTGATAGCCCCAAGGATGCTCCCCACTTCTGCCAAAGGCCCCATCTCCTGCTTTCCACCACCTTCCAATAATGCTAATGTGTTAGGAATCCACCAAGGGATTAATCCATTGATGAGGTCAGAGCCCTCCTGCTTTAATCCTCTCCTACACAGACCCCCCAGAGGTGTGCTTTACTATCTCCTGGGCACCCAATGAAGTGAACAAGATTAGCCATTGTAGTTAGAGAGGACTTGAACATGGGATGTCTGGTGTCCCACCTACCCTGCAGTGCCCTCCCACCCCCCACTCATGGAGGTCGGGGGATGATACCATAGCCTTCCTAGCAGGCAGAGCCATCCCTAATACGAAGATATCCTCTGCAGGCCTGTCCCAGGACAAGAACAAGGAAAAATGTACAGGGTAGTTGAACCAGTGGCATTTCAGGACAGTCCCTGATCCTGCTGGCCTTCTTTTTGTCTCTCCCCACTCAACTCTTGCACCCTGTGCCCCCAGCCTTTCATCCCTCTGTGACTTGGACAAGGTCCTTCCTCTCTGTCCTCTCTGAGCCTAATCTGCTCATCTGTAGAATAAGGTAGCGCTGGCCTCTGTATTTTAGGGTTACTTTGAGGATTAGAAGAGCCAATCTGTAGATAGTGCTTATCCGGTTCAGCAGGCTAGGGCTCAGTTATCAAGGCCAATGTCACTCTTCCTTCCTTACCTGCTGGAGCACTCGCGACCCCCTGCGACCTAAGTCCCCCAGTCCTACTAGCAGCTCCTTCCTTCTCGCCTGTCTCCTGTCCAAGGATCCTTGGAGAGAGGACTCAGCTGGAGCAGATTTTCATCCCTCTGCCTCAGTTCCATCCGCAGTGGTAAGCACCCCAGCATCTCCCGGAATCGCGTCGCTGGTCGGGTCGCTGAGCTCAGGCAGGCGCCGGGGCTCTGGCAGGGCGCGGGCGCTGCGGGGGGTGGGTGTGCCAGGTCCACGCCCGCGTCCGGGCTGGTGCTTCTAACCCACGTGATTTCTCGGCAGCCGCGGCGGGTTCCTTGCACCAGCCCAAACCTCCCGGCGCGGTCTACTTTCAGTTTCGTGCAGAGCGCGGAGGAGCAGGAGCGCAGCTGGTGAGTGCGGGCTGAACAACCAGGCTGGGCGCGGCTGGGTTCGAATTCCGCGCGGACCGGGGAGGAGGGGGTGCCGAGGCCCTGCCACGGGAGGGTACGGACCGCGAGGTGGATGCTCCACGTATGGCTTTATGGATGAACAAATGGACAGGTTGGGGCGCCGGCCGCCCCGCAGTGTGTGCCCCGCTACCCTGTAATTTAGGGAATGAACTGTGAATTACATAAGGTGGCAAGTCAGAGGGTCGCCTGAATTTGTGGGACGCCGTATGCGACCATGATCCCCATTCCCAACGCTACACTGTCGCCTGGTAGGGCCACCCTCTGTTGCTTTTTTTTTCTCTTTTCAACTTTTCATTGTTTTATGTAGAATTACAGAAGTCACACTGTTCGGACTTTTTGGCCTGAAACCCATTTTTACTACGGAAAATTCCAAACATATACAATAATAGAGCAGATAGAATCAGGTTGAACTGAAGTAACTTGCTGGTTATGATAGGAAGTAACTTCTTGTCTCCTCCACAGTCACCAACCTGAGACTGCCGGTTTCATCTCTAGCACCCCTCATTTTGAAACAAATGGCTTTATCATAGCATTTTGAAGGAAATATTTCAGAATGTACTAAGATAATAAGTCTTTCTAAAAACATGTCCACAGTCCCTTAGCATACCCTAAGTGTCTTAACAATTTCTAATGTCGTATGTCCACTGTATCTAGTGAATATTATAAGTCCTGAGGATTACGGAAACACATGGGTTCTTTGTGTTGCTTGCATTTTACATTTCAGTGTGGTTTTCAGCTACTTTTCTCACTCAGAAACCTAGAACCTGGAGTTTGCTGGGCGAGCCATTTAGGGAGGTTTGGGAGAGGCCCCAAGTTCAGCACTGTTTGCATATATCTTCTAAGTTGGGTTCTTAAAAGTTTGAGGGTTCTGCGGGGGCGGCAGAAGGTTGGGTGGACCCCAGCCAGTACCTGGAGCTGCACCTCTCCAGTCACCTTCCTTCTCTTCAAGGGAGAAATAAACCTGGAAAATCACTAGGCTTCATCTGGGGTATAAATCAGTGGTGGAGCGCTTGCCTAGCACGTGTGCGGCCCTGCATTCAGTCCCCAGCACTGCAAAAAAAAAAAAAAAAGGAATAATAAGGCAGTAGTCTGCTCTCCCACCAGACAACAGATGTGGAGGGACTGCGGATGATTTTGAAGTATGTATGGACTGCCACCTGCCATATCTCCAGAGCTAGCAACAGGCTGGCTGGCACCTGTTGTGAGAGGGGGACAGACAGGGGATTTCTGCACCTTGTGTTTGCTGGGTGTCCACGAAAGAACCATCTCATTTCTTGCAACCTTGGCTTCTCATCTGTAAAATGGGCATAATAGAACTTTCAAAGTCTGTTTCATGGATTGACCAAAATGAGGCAGCCTTAGTGCTTGGTGACCTTTAAAGTATCCCCCACCTCCCCAAGAGAGAGAGAGCAGCCTTGGGTCCTTGATGGGGATAGACAGTAGAAGGGTTAAGGAATTTAGCAGCATGCTTTGCTGCACCTCTGTACTGGATACAGAGCTGTCCAGATGGCAGCGGGCCTGATCAGTCTTCCTATAGCCCCACACAGATACCCTCTTCCCAGCCCAGGAGAGTCCAGCACAATTTGCCAGCCATCTTCTTCCATCTGTGAGAGGGTGCATTGTGTCCCCTAAAAAAGATATGTTGAAGTCCTGACCCCCAGTACCTCCAAATATGACCTTATTTGGCAGTAAGGTGGTTGCAGGTACAGCCAGTTAAGATGAGTTTATACTGGAGAAGGGTGGCTCATACTGGCATAACTACTGCCTGGTAAGGGAGGCGATGAGCATGTCAAGACAGACACAGAAGAAGGAAGGCAGCCACATTCAGGAGATAAAGGTTGGAATGATGCAGCATGAGTCCTAAAACACCGAGAACTGCTGGCAACCACTGCAAGTTGGAAGAGACCAAGAAGGAGCCTTCTCTAGTGCCTCTGAGGGACCTGGCCCTGCCCACATCTAGATTTCAAACTTCCAGCTTCCAGCACTCCAGATGACAAATTCCTATCGTGTCAGTGCACCTGCTTTGTGGCATTTGTTGTCACATTTAATACACCATCCCAGCATAGGACTGGAGTAGGGACTGAGCAAATTAATGCAAGTGTGTACTCTGTCAAAACTTTGGGGGCTGGGGTACACTCAGTGATGTAGCATTTCTAGTAAAGATGAGCCTCTGCATTCCACCTGCAGTACTAAAAAAGCTAAACAAAGCCAGACAAAACTTTTGTAGATGTTGTCAAGACATAAACTGCTTTCTTTGTTGGATCTATTTTTTGGAGTGCTGGTTAGTGGCCTAACACCTACTTAACTGAAATTGAGTCTGTAGGAGGGAAAGCCAGAAGGAAAAACAGAAATTTGAAGGAAAAACAGAAAACCCGATCATCCTGGCTGTTGGTGCAGGATGTCTAGAGAGAGGGGAGCCTTTGACTGTACCTAAAACCAGACAGAAGTGGGGAAGCATGGCAGCACTGGCTTCATGTGCCACTTGTCCCCCCTAAAATAGGCATGACCGGGTTTACCACATGTGGTCTGGGGTTTCCTGTGTCCTTGAGAGCTGGTAGAGTTGATGTGATCTGATCCTGCTCTTTAGGGAAGCCCTGAGGGCTCTCTCAGGGTGGAGGTGAGGGAACTGAGCTCTGCTGGCCACCTCTGACCCCACCTCTTTTTCTGCTATGTTGTCATCCTCTTACCCTGACTGACCAGGGCACAAAAGCAGCTGTTTCCTGGGGTAGGGAGGTGGGAGACTGGGAGACATGAGTTCACTCATTCTTCCTACCTGCTTCAAGCCCGTATGTGATGGGCTTTGGCTCCATCCTGGGAGTTACTCAGAAGTCCTCCAGACATTCCCAGACATGGGATTCTTCTCCAGAAGGCTTTAGTAGCCCTTTGGCTGGCATGCCACTGATGTCTAACAAAGGAGAATGTCAAGTGTGCCAGGAAACACTGCGGTTATCTCAAAGGCCTTCCACTTCCGGTGAGATGTGCCTCCAGTTTTTTTCTGCTTGTGTATATTCATATTTTTTTAATGTGGAAAATTTTTTTAACTTTTGATTTATCATACATTAGCAATACAAGGGAGGTTCATTGTGCTCATTCCGTACATGGGTACAGTGTACCTTGAACAAATTCACCCGCCCATTATATTCCCATTGTCCCTCTCCTTCTCCCCCCCCTTCAAACAGCATTTGGTGAGTTTCATTATGCAGTCTTTATACGTATATCTGCAGTGTGCTTTCACCCTCTTCACCACTCTGTATCCTTTCCTTTCCCCCTACTTCTTCCCACTCATCCTCCCAAAAATTGTCCCATTATCATCATCATCATCATCAATCGTTTTAGGACCAGGTTTCACAAATGAGCGAGAACATACAATATTTGATCTTTTGAGCTTGACTTATATCACTCAACACGATAATCTCCATTCCCATCTATTTCGCTGCAAAGGATCTAATTTCATTTTTCTTTATGGCTGAATAATATTCCAAGGTGTAAATACGCCATATTTTCTTTATCCATTCATCAGTTGTTGAATGGATAAGCAAAAATGAAAGACACACAAAAAGATCTATGACGAAAAGCAAGTCTCCTTCCTCCCCTTGTCTCCAGCCTCACAATTCCCTCCCTGAAGGCAGTTGGTGTCATCAGGTCCTTGTGTCTTCTTCCAAAGAGAGTCTAAGAGGACCTTTACAAACATGGCATATACATGTACATGTACATCCTCATATACACACACATATCCACTTACATATGCTTGCACACATACACATATATCCCCCTTTCTCACTGCATCCCAAGCCCATCTTTCTTTTCAACAATTATTTTGTCATATGACTGCTTTGTCATTGACTTAACTGTTCTTGGGCACTTAGATTACTTCCTGTCTTTTGCTATTTCAGATAGTACTGTAATGAACATCCTTGGTCAGATATCATTCTTCACATGTGGGATAAATCTTTAAGAAAAATATCCAGGAGCTGGGCATGATAGCACATACCTGTGATCCCAGCACTCTAGAGGCTGAGGCCAGCCTGGATGACATAGTGAGGCCCTATCTCAAAAAAAAAAAAAAAAAAAAAAAGAGGAGAAAAAGACTGGGAGAGTGGCTCAAGTGGTAGAGTACCTGCCTAGCAAGTGCAAGGCCTTGAGTTCAAACTCCAGTACCACCAAGAAAGAAAGATAGAAAGAGAGAGAGAAGTGGAGAAGGAAGGGAAGAGAGAAAAAGAAGGAAGGAAGGAAGGAGGAGGGAAGGAAGGAAGGGGAAGAAAGAAAGAAAGAGAGAAAGAGAAAGGGAAGGAAGGAAGGAAGAAAGGAAGAAAGGGAAGGAAGAAAGAAAGAAAGGAAGGAAGGAAGAAAGGAAGGAAGAAGGAAAAAGAAAGAAAGGAAGGAAGGAAAGAAAGAAAGGAAGGAAAGAAGGAAAGAGAGAAACTAGGAGCAGATTTGCAAGGTCAAGGATGAATGTGACAGATCACTGTCCTTAAGTGTTGTACTGATTTTCACTACCACCGCTATGTGTGAAGGTGCTTACAACCCACATCCTGTCAGCATACACGTTATCATCTTTTTCACATTTGCAATTCTTGAAGACGAATAAGTGGATTTTTCTGTGTCTCTCAGAATGAATGAGGTTGGATATTTTTTACATGGTTAAGGGGCACCTGTGAGTCCTTTTCCATAAACTGTCTGTTCATATCCTTTTCTGTTCATATCCCACTTTTCTTTTGGGTTGTTGATCTTTTTCTTTCTGAACAGTAAAAGCCCTTTATATATTAAGGAAATTAGCTTTTACCCTATAATATCTATTTTGTCATTTTAAATGGTGGCATGGTTGTCAGAATAGCTGAGCTGTATTCCCCCCATTGTCAGACAATTACATTAAGTCTCTCCTATGGAATGTGGAGTATTTCCCCATTTTATGTGAAAAAACAAATAAGGTGTGACATTTT